CATTTGAGACTGCTTTTCTGGACATTCTTGTCATTTAGTACAGACACAGGAGACCTCTGATGTAAGCTGCATGCCGTCCTTCTGCTGACTTGGCATCTGTCACAGCAAAGCTGGAATGTTCTAACACATCATCATCTTCATTCTCCTCTTAAGGGGTATGAAAGGGTTTATTATTATCTTGTTCCTGTGTTAGTTTACTTGTATCCTCTAACTCCAATTTGCAAATATGAGCACATTCAGTAAGGTTGGAAGAATTATTAATAATCTATGTGGCCCAATATATCTACTAAAAATCTATGAGGTGATATAGAAAATGAAAGATGCTAGATTAAAATGTTACTCCTGCAGCAGCTGGTTATCATTTAGATGCATCTGGTCCCACTCTTTCACAATTTCTACTTCCGATTTCTTACATCTTGATAGCACCATCACATTTTCCTCGCAGTTAAACAACTTTTGAGTGATTGGGGCAGTCTCTTGGGCTAGCCTTTTGCCTCACACTTGGCTCAGAGCCTCATTACCTCAGGGCTTTTTGGGACCAGTTCACATTGTCAAACAGCCACACTGTGTGTGTCCTCCTGCTTCCTGTGGCCTTTTTCAGAGGTGACAGCTGTTCTGTCCAAGGGATGGTGAATATGTACATGAAATTGGACACTATGAAGTGTGTAATTGCCTTATTACTTTGTGATTAGAAAAAATAGAAACAAATGAGGTCTACATTTGAATGAGACAGGTTCAGAAATGAAGGGGAAAGCGGCCACATATGAATGGGATAATATTTATATATACAATGTGTGTGAGTGAGAGGTCCAGAAGACAATGAGAAAGTGGCCACATATGAATGGGATAGTGTATATATACAACATATGTGAGTGAGAGGTCCAGAAGGGAATGTGAAAGTGGCAGGATCAATGCATGAACTTAATGTATGAAGAACTCTCATGTTTGTTAGAAAAAAAATCACTGAGGTCCTCCCATGAGCCCTGGGGACTCTAAGTAGGAGAAACTCAGACAAGTGTCTAAGCCATCCAGCCCTTTCCTCTTGTGTCTTTGCCCATCCTCTCCATTTCTGCCCAGCCCTCTCTTTAGATATTGCTTCTGAGTCCTTGTCACCCACAAGTTCTGTTTCTGTGTTAAGATCACAGAGGAGAAAGGTAGACTGGGGACCCTGCCAGGATGTGATAGCCGCTACTCTTGGAACCTTCTTCCTGGGCCTGGAAACTGACAGTTCCAGGGAAAAAGAAGCCTCATTCATCAATGCTTTATCTGAACAGGGGATGGTGCCATCTGCCTTCTCTAGGCAACATCTTATTCCATAAAGACTTAGTCTCCTTATATTCTTACAGATTGCTTAAAAATCAAACAATTGCCATTGCTGCAAAATGTAAAAACACAAGTTTGATAATTTTAGTTGTTTTCACTAGTCAAGTTCAATGGCATTGTGTAGACCCACAGCCTTGTACGACCATCAACAACATTCTTCTTAGTCTTTTTTTTCTATCTTTCTGTATGGAAACACTGAACCTATATGATAATGCTGTCCTGTCACTCCTGTCTGAATCTATTTGTGTCTCTGATCTGTGAGAGACTGTTGCACAAACATCAGCATCCTGAGCATGATGCTACCTGGTGGTCAATAGTTTATTTATTAACCAGACTCTTTTAGATAGGTCATGATGATGTTGAAGCCTTGAAAATAAAGAAAGCAATAAAACCAGAGTGAGTGCTGGGGAGGGCCCAATGTGACGAAAGAAAAGCCTACCTGAGTGTCAAGATGGAGCTGAATATCTCCTTCCCTGCCATCGGCTGTCAGAAACTCATCAAAGAGAACGATGAGTGCAGGCTTCCTACAGTCTACGAGAAGCGCATGGCCACAGAAGTGGCCGCTGACGCTCTGTGTGAAGAGCGGAAGGGCTATGTGGTCTGAATCAGTGGCGGGAATGACAAACAAGGTTTTCCCATGAAGCAAGGTGTTTTGACCCGTGGCAGAGTGCACCTGCTGTTGAGTAAGGGGCATTCTTTTTTTATTTTATAATTTAATTTAATTTTACATATCAGCCACGGATTCCCCTGTCCTCCCTCCTCCCGCTCCCCCATCCTCTCCTCAGCCCACCCCCCATTCCCATCTCCTCCAGGGCAAGGACTCCCCTGGGGACTCAGCTCAACCTGGTAGATTCTGTTGAGGCAGGTCCAGTCCCCTCCTCCCAGGCTGAGCTAAGTGTCCCTACATAGGCCCCAGGTTCCAAACAGCAGCTCATGCACCAAGGACAGGCCCCGGTCCCACTGCCTGGATGCCTCCCAAACAGTTCAAGCTAATCAACTGTCTTACTTATCCAGAGGACCTGATCCAGTTGGGGGCTCCTCAGCTATTGGTTCATAGTTCATGTGTTTCCACTAGTTTGGCTATTTGTCCCTGTGCTTTTTCCAATCATGGTCTCAACAATTCTCACTGATACAATCCCTCCTCTTTCTCACTGATTGGACTCCTGGAGATCCATCTGGGGCCTGGCCATGGATTTCTGCATCTGCTTCCATCAGTCATTGGATGAGAGTTCTAGCACAACAGTTAGGGTGTTTGGCCATCGGGATCACCAGAGTAGGTCAGTTCGGGCTTTCTCTTGACCATTGACAGTAGTCTATTGTGGAGGTATCTTTGTGGATTTCTGGAGACCTTTCTAGCACTTTGGTTTTTCCTATTTCCCTGAGGTTTTCATTTATCATGGTCTCTTTTTCTTTGTTTTCCCTCTCTGTTCTTGATTTAGCTGGTATCTCCCGCTCCCCCAAGCTCTCTTTCCCTTGACCCTTGCCCTTCATTTCCCCACCTCATGTCCCGTTTGCTCATGTAGATCTCATCCATTTCTCTATCATTGGGGGATCCCTGTGTGTTTCTTAGAGTCCTGTTTTCTAGGTAGCCTCCCTGGAGTTGCGAGTAGCAGTCTAGTCATCCTTTGTTTTACATCTAGTATCCTCCTATGAGTGAGTACATACCATATTTGTCTTTCTGAGTCTGGATTACCTCACTCAGGGAGTAAGGGGCATTCTTGTTATGACCAAGGAGAATAGGAGAGAGGAAGCACAAGTCTGTTCAAGGATGCATCATGGATGCCAATCTCTGTGTTCTCAACTTGGTTATTGTGAAAAAAGAAGAGAAGGATATTCCTAGACTGACAGATACTACTGTGCCTTGTTGTTTGGAACCTAAAAGAGCTAGCAGAATCCGAAAGCTTTTTAATCTCTCTAAAAAAGATGACGTCTGCCAATATGTGGTCAGAAAGCCGTTAAACAAAGAAGGTAAGAAGTCCAGGACCAAAGCACCCAAGATTCAGGAACTTGTTACTCTGCGTGTCCCGCAACACAAATGCCGATGTATTGCTCCAAAGAAACAACAACAACAAAAAAAGAAAAACAAGGAGGACGGTGAAGAATATGCTAAACTTTTGGCCAAGAGAATGAAGGAAAACAAAGAAAGGCGCCAAGAAAGAGGCAGATGTGCTCTTTGAGAGATTCTACTTCTAAGTCTGGGTCCAGCCAAAAATAAGTTTTATGGGTAACAATAAATGATCATACCTTAAAAAAAGCCTATCTGAATTCATCTTTCAGATCTGGACCACTAGAAGGAATCTTCCAGGAGGGAGTTTGCATCCCTGACTGCTTTAAGGAAGACTACAGGGGTCTGGGTTATAACAGTTTTAGATGTTTTGGAAGAAAACCATGAGAAACAATATTTTGTAGTGGAAATGGATGTCATCAGACTCATCTGAGAAAATCCTGAGTCTTGCACTGTCCTCTTGTTCTTGTCTCCAAGGAATAAACATCCTCAGTGAATTTCCTGCCTGGCTTGGGCGTTTCCTCTGCCTTTTTTTATATAGAACCCATCACTGCAAGCCCAGTGGTCCATGCAGTTGAGGTGTTTGCTGCATGGCTTCCAGGAACCACACTCAAAGGCTTGAGTGTCTGCTGAGCTGCTCACTGTGTCTGAGGACTGCATCTTCCTCACGGGTTTGCTTGAGGCTGTGACAGGAGTTCCCATCTTAAGGTGGATTCCCACAGGAGAGGATCCCGGGAAATGAATGGACTCCCAAGCACATGAAGATGGCAGGTGAAGAACTGGAGAGGAGGAGTTTGGTGTGGGGGAAGACCGTGGTCCTGAGAGGATGGAGATTATGACAGCAGTCCTGCAGAAGGACGACCAGTGGTTTTTCTCTTCGTGGTTCCAGAGATGGGGCAGAAGAGGGCAAAGGAGTCTATGTGAACGGATGCTCTCTAGTGCAGGGTGTGCTGTACAGAACACACAGACACTGTTTGATTTGATGCTGAGAATCTTTTGAGGGAATTCTTTGGTTCAGAGATGACAAATGACTCATCCCAGACATTCATTCAATTAAAGAGTCACACCCACACAGGAGTCTCATAGGAACAGATCATCCAACACTACTACCTTCCTGGGATGTATGGTTGTTTGGAAATACCAGGGAGGTAGGTTTAAAGTCAGTGGACAGAGAAGAAATAGGTCAGAAGTTCCACACGAGAAATCCTCTCCACATATATAATTGAGCAGAGGAGGCATCATAAAAATACTTAATCAAAGGAGCATCAGCTATGAGTGGAGACCTGGGATCTGAATTAACTGTGTTCCTGAATTAACTAACAAGATGCTGTGTGTTCACTTCCTTTGTGGGTCCGCCTCCCTTTTCATGGACGTTGGTAGTGTATATTTGCTCCTTTAAACATTTTCTTTTGTTTGCCATGATATTTTCATGAAATAAAGTGAAAGCCATAGGAAATATTTAATACTCATGATCCTGTCTGATTAAATGGTATGGGTGGGTGTCTTTATTCTTTTTCCCCCCTCACCCTTTATAGGCAGCTCCAGAATTGGAATGCTCTAAGGTGTGATGGAATCTGAATGGCAAGTACTGGTCTAGCAGGACAATCCTGTAGGTACCATGTGATGGGAAGTACTGGAGAGCTGGGAACTGAGGCCTGGGAATCAAACAGACTGCTGATGCTGATTCATAGAATCCTCAATGCCATATGCTCAAAGCCTTTTGTGGTGAGGCTACACCAGGAACCAGTGACTGTGGTCAAAGTGAATGTGAACTTTGACTGGAATCCATTTCTTTTTCAAGTTTGATATTTTATTTACTTATTTATTTTACAGCTGGACCACGGTTTTCCATCCTCCATCTCCTCCCAGTCCCTGACACCACCTCTTCTTTGATCACCCCACATCCCCCATCCTCTTCTGTATCTGTTGAGTAAAAGGCAGGGCTCCAGTGGATACCTACCAAATATGGTATATCAAGTTGCAGAAAATCTTAGCACCTTGCCTTTTATTTCGGCTGGACAAGGGGAGCCAGTAGGAGGAATTGGATCACAAAGGTCAGTGAAGAGTCAGAGAGAACACCTGTCCTTCTATTTGGAGACTC